TCAACGATCAAAACCGTCAAAATTGTTTGTATATGCTTGGAGATCACATCAGCAAAAAATCACAAAAAAAAAACATTCAAAGATCAAGTAACGGGACAAAGCTTTTTCAACGGTTATAAACGAAAAATCAAGATTTAACGGTTATTTTAACTCCGATTTTGATGATTTTTTATAACTACACTCCTTGACCCTATATGAATACAATGAATGAATTCGATCTTCAATTTAAAATATTTACACAAGTGGATACCACAAAATCTTATGTTATACTTAATAAAAGTATAAATAAACTCTAAGTGTTAGTCAATCTATCATTTTACGAATTCTCCAAAACTAATTTCAACGATCAAAACCGTCAAAATTGTTTGTATATGCTTGGAGATCACATCAGCAAAAAATCACAAAAAAAAAACATTCAAAGATCAAGTAACGGGACAAAGCTTTTTCAACGGTTATAAACGAAAAATCAAGATTTAACGGTTATTTTAACTCCGATTTTGATGATTTTTTATAACTACACTCCTTGACCCTATATGAATACAATGAATGAATTCGATCTTCAATTTAAAATATTTACACAAGTGGATACCACAAAATCTTATGTTATACTTAATAAAAGTATAAATAAACTCTAAGTGTTAGTCAATCTATCATTTTACGAATTCTCCAAAACTAATTTCAACGATCAAAACCGTCAAAATTGTTTGTATATGCTTGGAGATCACATCAGCAAAAAATCACAAAAAAAAAACATTCAAAGATCAAGTAACGGGACAAAGCTTTTTCAACGGTTATAAACGAAAAATCAAGATTTAACGGTTATTTTAACTCCGATTTTGATGATTTTTTATAACTACACTCCTTGACCCTATATGAATACAATGAATGAATTCGATCTTCAATTTAAAATATTTACACAAGTGGATACCACAAAATCTTATGTTATACTTAATAAAAGTATAAATAAACTCTAAGTGTTAGTCAATCTATCATTTTACGAATTCTCCAAAACTAATTTCAACGATCAAAACCGTCAAAATTGTTTGTATATGCTTGGAGATCACATCAGCAAAAAATCACAAAAAAAAAACATTCAAAGATCAAGTAACGGGACAAAGCTTTTTCAACGGTTATAAACGAAAAATCAAGATTTAACGGTTATTTTAACTCCGATTTTGATGATTTTTTATAACTACACTCCTTGACCCTATATGAATACAATGAATGAATTCGATCTTCAATTTAAAATATTTACACAAGTGGATACCACAAAATCTTATGTTATACTTAATAAAAGTATAAATAAACTCTAAGTGTTAGTCAATCTATCATTTTACGAATTCTCCAAAACTAATTTCAACGATCAAAACCGTCAAAATTGTTTGTATATGCTTGGAGATCACATCAGCAAAAAATCACAAAAAAAAAACATTCAAAGATCAAGTAACGGGACAAAGCTTTTCGACGGTTATAAACGAAAAATCAAGATTTAACGGTTATTTTAACTCCGATTTTGATGATTTTTTATAACTATACTCCTTGACCCTATATGAATACAATGAATGAATTCGATCTTCAATTTAAAATATTTATACTAGTGGAATTTATTTACTTAATAAAAGTATGAATCAACTATCATATTAATAATTATATACATTAATTTAATAATTTTATATCCCTAAAAGTAAAAAGTAAAAACTATAATAATTATATATATATTAAATTAAATTTAAAAATTGATGACCATTGGATCGGTAGAGATTAAATCTCAGACGTCCATTTTATAATTATATATATATTTTATTAAATTTAAAAAAATGATAACCATTGGATCGGCTGAGATTTAATCTCAGCCGTCCATCAACACTCTCATTAACTCAGCTCCTCCTGATTCCTGAATCAAACACTGACTCTCTCTGTCTGTCTCTCTCTCTCTCTCGAAAATTCGAAATACTCGAATCCTCGATCGACTTCGTCTTCGACTCTCCGAGACCTCACGCCGTCACGCGGACGCGGCGCCTCACGGGCCCTCTCACCTCACCTCAGTCTCAGACTCTCAGATCAGTGACCTCACTCTCCTCGTCGTCCTCGAGTCTCGACCTCACCCAGGTCCCAGACTGTCACCCTCCTCCTCACTCAGTCACTCTGTCCCTCACTTACTCCTCAGTCTGCCCTCCTCCTCACTGCACAACAAGTCAACAAGGTAAGAAATTCCTGCAATAAACTCAAGGGTTTCTGAATTAGGGCTTGTCGAATTAGGAATTTCTTAAATTAGGGTTTCTAAATTGGGGCTTTTCACTTTTGGAAATAGGAATTTCTGAAATTGAAGTTTCTGAATTAGGGATTTTGAATAGGGACTCTGAATTTGGGCTTTTGGAATTCGAAATTTCTTAAATTAGGGTTTCTAAATTGGGGCTTTAGGAATTAGGAATTTCTGAAATTGAAGTTTCTGAATTAGGGATTTTGAATAGGGACTCTGAATTAGGGCTTTTGGAATTCGAAATTTCTTAAATTAGGGTTTCTAAATTGGGGCTTTTGGAATTAGGAATTTCTGAAATTGAAGTTTATGAATTAGGGATTTATGAATAGGGACTCTGAATTAGGGCTTTTGGAATTCGAAATTTCTGAAATTCATGTTTCTGAATTAGGGATTTTGAAATTCATGTTTCTGAATTAGGGATTTTGAAATTCATGTTTCTGAATTAGGGATTTTGAAATTTTGAAGGTGCTAACTGTCCATCATTCAGAAACTTTGCTCTTAACTGTCCATCATTCAGGCCTTAGAAATTTTGAAATTAGGGCCTTAACTGTCCATCATTCAGGCCTTAGAGAGATTTATTTGAATCAAATATGGCAGTTGAGTATCTAACTTACAACGGAACTTTGCTCTTTATTTTCCAAAGTCTCATTGTTCTTTATTTTTGAAAGATCCTAACTTGAATTATTAGTGAATGAGATTAAGGGAAATTCAAGAACAAGGTTCCGTTTTAAGTTCGTAACAGCATTGCATCCTTGCAAGGCCTAATCCTATGCTCTTTAGTCTTTCCGGGCATTCAACACACTTTGACTGTCCACATTTCACTGCATTTTATTGTTGAGACTGGGACCTAGTGGGAAACGAATAGTCTCATTCTTGGTAATCAAAGTATTGGCTTCATGGAATGTCTAGAAAATAAAATATTGAAATAGGCTTCAAAGTAGAAACTGGGACGTATTATATGTGTCGCACATTCATGCATGTGTATCATATTATACGAAATATATGTAGGTTTCATCAATTTTGAAGGTGCTGAGTGCAGACTATTTGTTTCGCCCTCTGTTTGTCTAATGTGAACGGGGATCTCCCTGCTAATTGCTGTCTGGGTTTTATACTTTTATAGAATATCCATTGATTACTCTGTTTCTGTGGAGTTTGTTCTCTGAATATGTGAAGTAAGTTTTTTTTTCCTTGGGCAAAAGTGCAGTAATTTTTCTTAGGGTGGGGAGAATGTGAATATATGTGCTTTTAAAAGGGTGAATTCTTTGCTTTGAAAAGCAAAATGCGTACGATATGAAACTGTGCAGTATATGTGCACACTGCACAGTGCAGTATATGTGCACACTGCACAGTGCAGTTATAACTTATATATGTGCAGTTTTAACTTATATATGTGAAATTGAAATGGATATGTGAATTTGAAATGGATATGATATGAAATTGGTATGAGCAAGATTTTAAAATTTTGTTTTTCTTTCTTGAAGGTTGAAGCAATGGATGCTGTAGAGCAAGATTTTACGAATCTTAGTGATGGAGGGTCAGTGGAAGTGACAATGGGAATGCAACCTGATCATGGAAGTAAAAATACAGAAGATACAAATACAAGTCCGGCAAAGAAAAAGGCTAGAGTGATCAAATTAGGTAAGCGAACACTCAGGTCTCCTGTTTGGAAAACTTTCAACAAATTGACTACTATTTTTGAAGATGGTAAAAGTCGAGCTCAATGCAAAGATTGTAAGAAACTAGTAATAGATGATAGTCATCATGGGACGGGTAATATGAATAGACATTTGAAAACATGCCCTGGACAGACTAGTGGAGTATTGTCGGTGTCTGAGTTTTGTTCCCAAAACTTTGATCCTGTGGTATTCCGTGGGTTATTGGTAGAGGCCATAATCAAGCATAATCTTCCCTTTAGTTTTTCTGAGTACGAGGGAATTAGGGCTTTGTTTGCATATATATTTCCTGATATTAAATTACCATGTAGAAATACAATTAAAGCTTGTGTGTTGAGGATGTTCAAAAATGAAAAACAAAGGCTTCATAATTTGTTAGCCTCGGTTGAAGGTAGAATTTGTTTGACATCAGACTTGTGGACCTCGCAATGCACTGATGGGTATCTTGCTCTTACCGCTCACTTTGTAGACAAAGATTGGAAATTGCATAAGAGAATTTTAAGTTTTTGTCACATGCCTCCTCCTCATAATGGTGTTGCATTATCTGAGAAAATTAATGCATTGGTGACTGAGTGGGGGATTGAGAAGAAGTTATTTTCTATTACTTTGGATAATGCTTCTTCAAATATTTCTTTTGTTAGCATTTTGAAGAATCAATTGAATCTTAGAAGTCTTCTCGTGATGAATGGTGACTTCTTTCATGTGCGTTGTTGTGCTCATGTCTTGAATTTGATAGTTCAAGATGGACTTAAAGAAATTGATTCTTCGGTGGTAAAAATTCGTGAATGCATCAAGTATATAAAGGGCTCTGAGGCTAGGAAACTAAAGTTTTGTGAATGTGTTAGACAAGTAGGGATATTGGATAGTAGGAGAGGGTTGAGGCAAGATGTCCCTACTAGATGGAACTCAACCTATATTATGCTAGATAGTGCAATTTTCTATCGATATGCTTTGATTCATTTAGGGTTGAGTGATTCCAATTTTACTAGTTGTCCATCTTCTGAAGAGTGGGATAAAATAATGAAGATTTCCAAGTTTTTGGGGTACTTTTACGAGGTTACTTGCTTATTCTCTGGGACAAAGTACCCCACATCAAATTTGTTCTTCCCTAAGGTCTTTGTAATCCAACTTCAAATTAAGGCAGCCATGAATGACTCTGAAAGCTTCATGAAGAAGATGGGGACTTACATGTACATGAAGTTTGAGAAGTATTGGTCTGAGTATAGTTTGATTTTGGCAATTGCAATCATCTTAGACCCTCGTTATAAATTGCATTTTGTGGATTGGGCTTACACAAAGCTTCATGGTGTGAATTCGGTTGAATTTGCAAAGGTTGATGACAAATTGAATGATCTCTTTGGTGTGTACTTGGAAAAACTTTCACATCTTGATAATTCAAATATTGCAGTGAATTCAGTGCCTATTCATCAAAGAGAATCTGTGGATGTTATCTTTGAGGTAACCTAAGTTTGTTTTTATTTACTTTATATATTTGTAGATTGTAGTATTAGTACTATAATAAGTGTTGAAATTATATTTGAAATTGACATGATGCATGCTTGTTTATGATGTAGGATTTTGATAATAATTATGATGGTTCAAGTTCGATTGAAAAAAATGAATTGCAGAAGTATTTGGAGGATAAAAGAATAGATAGAAAAGTAGACATAGATGTTCTTTCTTGGTGGCAAATGGAGCGTTTTCATTATCCGATACTTTCTCAGTTAGCACGAGATGTGTTAACGATTCCCATTTCAACTGTTGCATCAGAATCTGCATTTAGTATTGGGGGTAGAGTACTAGATCAGTATCGTAGTTCATTATTACCAGAAACAGTTCAAGCTTTGTTGTGCACACGAGATTGGCTATTTGGAAAAGGAGGTAATATATTTTTATATGGTATAGTATTATTATTTTATTTCTTTTCATAATTATTTTGTTTAACTTTTCATAATTGAATGATTTTTAATGTTTGCTTTTTCTATACTTAGTTTATGCGGAAGAGAGTTCTGACGTGGAAAATCTTACTGAAAACATCTTCAACATAACTCTTGAAGGCAATAGATCAAGCCAAAGTTCCAATATAATTTCATGATGTTCGATATAATTGAAGATTTTGTAAATGGAGGTGTAAACTTTTAAGAAAGATTTACAATCTTAAAAACAAAAACTCTTTATCCTTGCACATTTAATATTTGTAATAGATTAGTAGTATGTATTATTTTTTTTATTAGGCTTTCATTTTCGAGTGTAGATATAGTACTTGAACGAGAAATGTTTTAATGTTTTCAAGTAATATTTATGTCGTAATGTGTGGTATGTGCAAATTGTAAAAAAATATATTTTTTTCTTAACGGGTCATAACGGGTGTGACACGACACGACCCGTTAAGATAACAGGTGTTACACGAAAACGACACGATAACGACAGACACGACCCGTTTGCCAGGCCGCCAAGAAATAAAAGAAAAGCCGCGGCACTCCGCCTACGAATTTCAGGATTTAGCGCAAGTAAGCGCCACCAACCTCCCAGTTATTTGGTTCCGATCGACGTACCGTCCTTCTCTCTCTCCAAGTCTCACTTGTCCTCCATTGAAATCTGATCGGACTCAGCGCGAGAGAGAACATGTCGAACCGAAACACTCACCCCCGGCCCGCCGGAAGCAAGGGTTTCCCAAAACCCCAAAGGGTCTTCGTCCCCAAGAATCCAGACCACAACAATCCAATCCCTCAAGAACCCAATCCCAACCCCACGCTCTCCACCTCACTCCGGCAATCGCTCTCCAAGCAGCAATCCAATCCCGAAACTTCCCCCGCTGCTTCGGCACCGCCGTCGGGGAGCAGGCTTCGGATGGGGGAGAAAGGAGAGTGGGTGCCGAGCAGAGCTCAGGGTGGCAATTTCGTAAGTTACTTACCTCAGGACGAGGCGGTGGCGGCTGGGCTGGGCGCCAACGAAGGTGGATTGGACGCCCTGGAGTCACAAAGAGTGGTGGATCTTCTTAACAGAGAGCTCTCTCGCTTGCTGAAGTTAAACCCAAAGGAGTTTTGGCGACAAGGTAAAATTACTGCTACGACGTTCACATCTCGACTGGCAAAAGCTGGAAACTTCACATTTAATTTTCAATTTATTGTTAACATCTCACTATTTTTTATTGATGGTGCACATTTGTTGTCAGTGGCTAGTGATGCATCGTTGCATGAATTTCTGGATAGCTTCCTACAGTTTAGGAGCAGGTGGTATGATTTCCCTCATCGCGGCGCCAAGGAATTGGTGGCGGGGGTCATTGTTGGGGAGTTCGAATTGAGCCGGCGTGTTTTTATGGTGTTATATCGAATGTAAGTCTGAAGTTGTAAGTCTAAGGTTGCAGCTGTGCAGCATCATATTCTGTTGTTGCATTGTTATTATCGCTTTTCCTATTCACTCTCAGTCATTGTAATGCAGATCTTCTAATAGGGATCCTGGCGCTCGTCTTGCTGATAGTCTCAGTCCAAAAGATCATGAAGGTGTGTTCTGTCATTATGTATTCTCTGTAAATTGTTGTTCTTTAAGTTTGGTGGGCGAGATAATCCACTTTGTTAGAACAGGATTAATGTAACCCTTGAAGATTTTTTTTTTGAGAAGATACCCTTAAAGATTTTGGATCTTACTATGCATTACTTTCTGTCGGTTTCGTCCATAACATCATTTGCTTCCTTATTTTTCTCCCAAATTTGTGCAGTATGGTAACTGATGTAATTCGTTAGAAATACCGTACCATATACATACATGAAATGGCTTTTGCTTCCGTATTAGAGTTTGTTGGGTGCTTTTAGGTCTACCGTAGAAGTCTGCATCTATGTCCTATATTTGCATTCGAGTTGAACTTATCTCATTGGAGAAAATATGATTAGGATGGTTTTGGTTTGTTTAATATTATATCATAATAACCGTTGTTCGCTAATTCCACATGTAGTTCTTTTGCAGGAGAAGAAGTTGCTGGACTTGCCTACGTTGTTAGACATATGTGCTATATATGGCCATGAAAATGAAGATTTGACCAGAGTGCTGGTAGGGATTTTATAAATAGTGAATAGTGGCCAGTGCACTCTCTCTCACTCAGTCAGTCAATCATTTTTGTTATTATGTTTTTCAGGTTGGCAATGCAGTGAAAGCTCATACTAGGATCCATGACAGTTTGACTGCAGTTGCATCACATTTCCTTAGCATTGTCCAAACAATGTACCAACGTAGCAGCTCAGCCTTGGAGGTATATCGTCAAATCTTTTAAGGTCAAAAGTGACTGATTCAACCTTTTATTCCATTCACCCTGTTTAGTAAAGTCGGTTTTATAGTCGTAGGCATTGCTTCATCTTGGCGTTATGTACTTCAGGAAGCTTCGTAAAAAAAAATTTTGGAACTCATCTGTCCATTAATAATGTGGATCAAACTTTTCTGCCTAACAAATAATGGTTAACTCTATACTAGTTATGTATCTCTTTAATAAACTTTAATTAGTTTTTACTGGAAGGATTTATAAGCACTCCTGATATCACGTGCAGACCCTTTTTTCCTCTAGAAACTCTGGAGTACATGGATCCAGCCGTCTTCTTGCTGATTTATTGGAGGTGAGTTGCTTTCTCTTCTTATGGATTGAACTTATTAGGACAACTGATTCCATCCTCATCCTCCCTCTACTCCTTTTCAGTACTTAGTTGCAATTTGAATTAATTCCTTCAAGAGATTTATAGTAATAGTGGGTTTTAATTTGGATTTGTTCTGCTGCATGCTGCACAAAATTAAATTACATTTTTAGAAAAATGGGGGATATTATTTAAGGAAGTTTTATTAACCAAGTTTTCGCTATAATACAGCTAAGGAAACTCTTTTCATAAGGAATTCAAGTGAACCCTTTAGTTTTCTTCTACGGGTTGGATCTATGATGTTTCTATAGGATCATTGCTGTTTTCTGCTTCAACTTTCAAGATATGAGGATGTTGACATACTTATGGTACCCTGTTTAAGAAATTTCTCCTTTCTCGGTAGGTTATGGACTTCATTAACGATGCAATTGTATCCATGGATGCTTTCCTAACTGCATACGAACCATCCGCTGTCTTCTTTTTGTGCCCTGTTGAAACCAGGTATCTTACCTTTGTTTAGCAATGGGATTTTCTTAAACTGCGATCTAAAGCTTGATTGGTAGTGGCTGTACTCCACAGTAAGAACATGTGGATGCATAAGAAACTTGAGTTTTCCTATGGGCTTGGCTGTTTGATTCAACAATCAGAAGGTGTATCTTAGAATAGAGATTTCATCAGCATGTTTTGGTGGTTGTCTAGGAGTTTTTGTAGTGGAACCTGCTTGTTTGGTAAATCAAGTTTTTTTTAGCAATAATGCTGTCAAAAGTTTCAATAATGATGAAATAATATATCTTTGCTTTCTCTCTCAATGCAGTCATGGGAACGAGGGATTATTAAGTACTCTAGCAAGGTTGCATGATTCATTGCTTCCATCTTTGCAGCGTGGGTTTCGAATAATTTCAGAAGATGGAGAAGATAAAATGGTGTCTAATATTACTAATATTGCTTTCAGTTTGAAGATGTTATCAATGAGAATTGTCAGATTTGGTTGGAAACTATTGGATTTATGCTATCTAAGTGATGACGCCTTCAAAGATAACCTCCCCATTCCGGCTGCTGCAGAGATGTTTCCAGCCAAAGTGGAGGATCTTTTCATTAGAGCAGATATACTGGTTCAAACCTTAAGAGAGATTAATGGAAATTCCGTATGTGCTCAAGAGAACCAGAATAGGCAAACATTTCTTCAAAACATTGAAAAGAACTTCAACATTATGAGCAAAATGGAGAATTTACAAAATATTGGTGAGCTATTCCATGCTATTACAGTATAGTGTAATTGTATGATTTTTTATTGGCTCGTTTGGTATAATTATGCTTGAAGAAGCAAATTTATATGTCGTCAGTTTTGTTTGTGCAGGGTGGATAATCATGGATGATGAGCAGCTGGGCTATGTATATGTAATACTTACGTCTACTCAGAAACTCATAGTTAAGCAGCAGCCCAGTACGAAAGCCGCTTTGACGAACAAAAAGGTGCAGATAGATGAAGATGTTGCAGTTGTGGAGTCGCGAATCAGTCAAATAAAGGACCTCTTCCCTGATTATGGAAAAGGTTTTTTAGCTGCTTGTCTTGAAGCCTATAACCAAAATCCTGAGGAGGTTATTCAGAGGATTCTTGAAGGAACTCTTCATGAAGATCTGCTGTCCTTGGATACGTCATTAGAAACAATGCCAACACCCAAGACTGTTACTGTTAGTAAGAACGATAAAGGGAAAGGAAAGCTAGTTGAGTTTACAGCACCACACGCTGGTGTGAGGGATAAACAAAATGGTGGCCCTTTGGTTTCATCATCCTCATCACAAGGAAGGTTTGTTAGGAAGTCTAAAGCAGACGTGCCTGATACTGATACACTGGATGACAGAAATGAGAAATACATTGCAAAAACTGCTGCTCTTATTTCACAGTTTGAGTATGACGATGAGTATGATGACTCTTTCGATGATCTGGGTCTGAGTGTTGCAGATTCAGGAGTGGGGGAAAGTGAGATATTTAGTGAAAAAAGGAGCTCAATTACAGGTAGGCCGTGGGAAACACAAACTGGAAGTTCATCTCAGGATGCAGCTAATTCCAAATGGGGCTCCAGAAAGAAGCCCCAATATTATGTCAAGGATGGTAAGAATTACAGTTACAAAGTTGCAGGTTCGGTTGCAGTTGCAAATGCTGGTGAAGCATCATTAATTACTGACGCACAACAAGAAATGATTCACGGCCTTGGTCGTGGCGGCAATCTTCCTCTTGGCGCGGTTAAGAAGCTGACAGAATACTCGGAGGAGCAAGACAAACAATTTGACCATTCTCAGGCCGAAGAGAGGGGTCGGATGGATGGGAGAGGGTTTAGTGGGAATGCTAGGGGCAGAGGAAGGAGAGGAGGAAGGCAAAGGGAGTCCAATGAGGAGCAAGATAATAGACAAAACGATAACGGTGACGGTGAAGACCGAGAGAATGCCGGAAATCAAAGGGGGAGGGGGGGAAGGAGAGGAGGCAGAGGGGGAGGGGGAAGAAATCATTTCAGGAAGGACCGGGCCATGAATAAGCACTTTTCTGGTATAGGTGGCTTTTAGGTAAATAGAGAGAGTAACACCGACGTCTCCCCTGTTTTTTTCGTTTTGGGAACGGTTTTAAGCATGAGATCCGTCAAGAGTTTTGAATCACTGTAAATTTTGATTCCTTGCTAAGTTGTCATTTGATTAAACCACAGTTACATCGATTAACCAATCCTTATGGATTAGTCTGCATTAACCAGTGATCGTGTAACACCCATTCTCGACACTTCACAAATGATGCAACCATAGTACCAAGTGACTCTTGAAAAATTGGACTCGGTAAATAATTGACCCAATGCAACGCTCGACCTTGTGGTTAAGGCCACTCGCACTAACCAACTTGGTCAGAGCCGGATGACTTCAACCACTCCTATAAAGTTTATATATTCTAGATACAGTAAAAATTGCACGGACATGAATCCCACGATATTATTTTTTCGATTTCACACACTGATTAAAATAGTGAGTTCCACCTCGGTGTCACGTAGCATTGAATAGCTTAAATTTCCAGCCTAAATTAATCCATCTGGATCCACAATTAAAGTAATAATCTAAACTAATCCATTTGGATCCCATGGTCGTAATATTAAGTAGCCTAAATTCACAAGAACACAATAAAATCAATAATATCGGTCAATACCTATCATCCAATACTGGTAGCATAGCCTCCGTTTCCTAAAATAGTGGGTGAAGTTTTCTGAAAACACAATTGACGAGTTTCTGATCTTAACGTGCGCATTGGAAACATATTTAAAAGAATGGAACTCTAATAACAAACTCCATATGGAATTACAAAATTTTCTTCATCGAAATTTTCTAATGTAGCAAATGACTGATAGCCATATCCAACCACCATCAATTACGTTACTACAAAATGAAATAAGATTGTTTGAAATTCGTCAACTAAAACCCAGCATGATTCGGGCAAAACCGATAAGATAAGCACGTGAATTTTTCTTACGCATCGTCCCCCAAATTAGCTGCAAAGCGGCCGATATTTTTACCCTGCGAACACACAGAATGAAAAAAAGGTAAGAAGAAAAGTATAATTCAAGAGCCATGTTCACCCGGAACACGCTGAAGCAAAAGCGTTCACAAGCATACCTCGGAGAACATTCGCTGCTTGTTAAGCAGCTGGGTCCTGGCTTTGTTTTGTACCGAGTTCGGTGACTTAAACATCCTCTGTAACCAAGACACAACATTAATGAATGACTAGAAAATTATCCACCAACAAAAGAACACCTGCTGCAGACCGATGGAATATCAAACTAAATTGGAGTGGTTGTAAGAACAAACCTTTTCACTACCAGATAGACGATGTTCAGAATCCAAAAGATTCTTTTTCTTTGGATTGAAGCCAAGAACATCCTGGAGGAGTTCATTTTCCTGTTTCAGAAGATTGTATTAATCCATTAGCCTTTGCCTAACCAAAGAGGAATTATACAGGCACGATCAAGAATAGATATGAATTTATCTAGTAAAAAGATGAAGAAATCGTATCTAGGGGCAAGTAAAGCAACCTGCATGTGCTTGATAAAACCTCCTCCAAGAAAACGCTTCAAAAAGTTCAACTGTAAAAGTTTCAAAACGAAAACGAGTCAATGAATTGAAATGATTTAAGTAAATAAAAATTTGAATTCAAAGGCAGGGAGAGAAGAGGAGGCATGAGAGGGGACCTGTATCATCTGCGACCACGTTGATGTCTGTAGTGATTCACCACCAATCTTTATCGAAATTTCAGGAGAATAACCATCCTAAATTGAAGAATAAAATCAGTATACAGGATCAATAAAATTAAGCATCCATTTTAATCACAAGGGTATAAATATACCTCAAAATATTCCAAGATATCCCGAAACGTGTTCCGCTGACTACTAAGATCTTTTTTAGCAGAACTTTTGCCACCTGCTTCGGCTGAGAGGTTTCTGGCTTGATTAATAATCTTCGCTTTCAATCCTTGTATATGTACATATTCCCGAGGTTTGTTTCCTACTTCAGTTGAGCTGTCACTTGATGTTTTAGTGCCAGCAGTGAACTTCTCTAAACTTCCAATCTCAAAAATTAAAGCCAAAGCTTCACCAGCAGCTATACGTATAGACCGGTCATCCTTATCTAGCAGACTAGATAAGTATGTTATGGACCTGCATTATTGGCCAGAAAATAATAGGGGGAGTTATTAAAAATGACTCAACGTCAGAACTGTCATAAGTTTCTGTGCTGCAAAAGTATCCACACTATGCAGGTCTTGTATTCCACAAGGTTGCTGCATCAGCCTGGTTGCAGCCAAAGCCTTAGTACATAAACAGATGTGGTTCGAACCATAGATTAACATGCAGACCAATCCTTATCAAACGAAAGAAAAGCAGGAAAAATGGGTCACTGATAAAAAGTTTGCTCACTCTTGCCAGTCTTTCGGATTAAGATTCCACCCCTCTACAGTTGTAAGAAGAAAGGACCACGCAGACACCATGGTGGTTATTACTGCTGCTGAAAGTTTAACTGCAATCACCTAAAAAAGTTAAAGAACAGAGAACAGTCAAATCATGAAACATTACCTTCACCAGGCCCATAAAAGAAAATAAATAATGGCGTACTCGTGAACTTTCTGGAAATATAGCTGGAACATGCCTACTCACATTGGAACTCTGTTTTGGATGAACTACTTGCCACATAATTTGCATTGACTTTTCTGTTTGCTCTGGGTCACTACCACCAACAAAAGTGATAATAGCTAAACACTCGAGTAACTGCAATTAAAAACCAAATTGTGTGCTCAGAAAAAGAACAACAGGTTCGGTATCATGATATGTCCAACAACCAGAAAGCCCTTGAAGCTAAAGCCTAAACAGGTATTATATCGCTACCGCTGATGTCTTTGAAACTTCAGATCCTGATTTGAAAGCCTGTGAAATCACAGGTACTGATTCTTCCAGTATTTCCTGAGCATTGTCTCCACATCCAACAGTCAAAGCCAATAGTCCTACAAGCACACATGAAAAGATTAAAAACTCATTTTGATACTTGGGGGAGAAGTATAAGAGTGGGCCTAAAAAGGAGCAAAGGACTAACCGATCACATGAGACGCCAAACATATCTCTTTTGAGGAACCCTTTTTTATGCAATTCAGACACTGATGCAATAATGTTGCAAACCTGATGAACAACAAATAAGTTTTATGAGAATCAATGCAAAATACAAAAAGGTAACAACTAAGGCATCCTGGGTCTTAAGAGCATAATTGAACATAATCAAATGCAAGAGCTTACTTCTTTTCCACAAACTGATGTTGCAAGTTGCTATTAAACGCGTCAATAATTGCTGACAAAGCTTTTTCTCTTGTGGAACCCCTTCACATACACAGAGTTTAACATTTTAATAAGCACAATGGGAACGATTAAACACGCTTTTTCCTCTCTTTTGCCGGCTATTATTAGTATCATTATAGAACATAATGATCAAAAAGTGAGTAATACCTCTTCTCATACAAAGCATCTACAGCTTGGTCGAGTAAACCATCCCTATCCACTTGCATATCTTCATTCACAGACACCGATATATGATCGGAGCGCATAGTTGACGTTGAACTCATGCTACTATTATCATCATCGCTGTCCATCATCGCAGCATTCTTACGCTGAGAACTACCTGCCAATGCCAAAATTCACACTAACCTCAACACCAAAAAATCCACAATTCCCATCCATCAAGCCTATCTCTTTGGAAAAGAAATTAAAAACCCACATGTATTATGAGCCCAATCAAACATTAAAATCAGCAAACCAAAACTTGTTGCAATAATTGGGACCAACCAAAAATTAATAAATTGCAAGCACAATTGGGATCTCAAGCAATCAAACCAGCAAATTCCAATTAAAATTAACGAATCGAAACATAAGAATAATTAGAATTAAGAAGACCTCAATTAACCACACAAAAAAAAAAAATCAAATTGAAAAGTCAAAAGGGATGAAGAGCCTTACGTTTCCCCATAACTGTGAGTCGTATGGGGGATCCCTACTATACTTTCTAAATCCCTAGTGCGCTTTCTCCGTCAGAAAAATTTACAAGGGCGACTGAAAATCTTAGAAGGAGGAAAAGGAGGAGAAGAGCGCTGCCAAAGAGAAGAAAATCTGACGAGATGGGCAAAATCGAATTGGTCGGAGACGAGAAAAAACTGCGATTCAGAAAATCCCGAGAGCAATTCAGCCATTAATAGAATTAGGGTTTCCTGATTTGGGGCTAAAATAGAAATAGGGTTCCTCTTTCCTATTAGAAATCAAAATTTGGGAAAATTGAAATCTGGAACATTTGATTTCGTAAGGAGCAAAGTTTCGTGCTTTCGCATTTGCTTGGTGGAATTTAGAAAAGGGAATGTTTAATTTGCTTGCACGGAATATTCGGGTACTAACATGTGTAAATCTGGTTCACGGAATCGTATGGGTTTACGACGTGGCGCGTTGTGAACCGCTCGATTTGATGAGGTTTGTGATTAGATTATGGGGTTGGAGTTGTTCCACGCGCGAGTTTGGAGAGAGCATTTTTGCCTGCGACCATAATTTATAACAATTATATATTTTCACAATACACTAAATTATCTTAGTTTTTACGTTGAATGTTATTTTTTTAATTTCAAAAAAATAAAAATAATCAAGGTTAAGTGAAATGATACGTAGCAAATGATTAGATGTATGTGGTAAGTAAAAATGCTCCTGAGTTTGGAAGATGGCAGACCACTAGGAGGGAGATTAAATATTCTGCACCCAAATTATTGAATGACATGTATAAGCTTATTTTTTTTAAATTTTGTTGTCATAAACTTAATGTGTCAGTGAATAACTAGGGTCACAGAGATGTGAAGCACGTGTGATACGTGAGTTTTGAAAGACACGTGATTGAAGCAAAAAGGTTTCTTTCTGGTTGGGAAGTGCCTCTTAGATGGAGTAGAATTCTCTCTCCTCCTATTCTCATCCTCTTCCCTACCCTCCTCTCACATATTACTTTTTATCTTCTTTTTTTTTAACAAACGGTATTATTTACACTAAAGGGAGGGAGTTGGCTTAGCCTCACAACGGACTAGCAATAATGTGATTCAAAATTCGCATTTGAAGATAATTGAACCTAAGTCCTCTCACTTACAAGTGAAGAAGAATATCACTAGACCTCTCACTTTTTGTTTTACTGTCTCTATAAAAAAGTTAATATAAAATATTGACGTGACTTGACCGTAACCGTTTAAGTAGGAGAGAAGAGATGGAAAGAAAAAGTAAGAAGAGAGAATCCTCCTCTATCTTAAATTGTCTGTTGTCTAAACCAAAAGAGAATTAAAGAACATAAATATAGGATAGGATGAAGAAGAAGTGCACGAAAAAAAGATGGAAGTGAACCTTTTTAAGGTTCTTCAAAGTTCTTGTTAAAAAAAAAAAAAAAAAAGTTCTAACAGTATTATGCGTTTAGACCATCTCCAACGGAGATTCAAATTTAAACCTAAAATTTAAATTTGAAGGCTTACGTGGCACTTTGACATATTTTAAAGTTTTGCTCTCTAACTAATATGTCAAATTTTAAACATAAAATAAAAATTCATATGCATTTTCTTTGCATTAGGAATGAAAAAAAAAAACAAAAAGATAATACTTTAAACCAATAAAAAATTAATAAAAAGCATTTAATAATTAATTAAAAAATCTGAAGATGCTGTTAAATTTGGCAGTAAAGAGGAGAGATGTCATTTCATGTCATGCTACATCAGATTTGGCCTCTCAGTTGGAAAACATTAATATTATCTTTTATTATCGTTATTACTGATTTGAACATTTTGACATTTTTTTAGAGATGCTCTTAGATCCTTCTAACAGTATCAGGTTGCGTTTTGAAGGCGTGATTCAATCCAAGTCTGCTTCTTGGCCGTGGTTGAATTTTAGTGTAATGTTCATACGGTTCACGTGGTCGTATTACAATTGATTTTGACATGATGTGACAATCTACAAACACGCGTTCTACAGCCAAGAGTTCGTGGACACGTTGGTTACTTGGTACTTGGTTAAGTTGTGGTTGTGATCGATACGAGGTACCACAACACGCAACACGTAACACGCAAAACTCAACGTCGACGATGCAAGCTTGAGGACGAAACAAAGGCAAAAATATTGGGGTTGTATTTTGGGCCGAACAGCCCAACCAACTTGGATTTTGGACATCTGAGCGAGATTACTTGCTCGGACAATATGGATTGGACAAAATGCAGGAGGATCCCTCTTGTGTATTTTGAGCAAACAGAGTGACGTGTCACGTAAGGTTTTTTTTTCCTTTAGACTTTATCATTATATATAGATAATTTTAACGAAAAGTTCATGGTACTGTTTATTTTAACGAAAAATCATATTTTTACACTAAAAATTCAAACTTATTACTATTCACTTTACCCTTTATTTTGTTATTATCATTAAAACTTATAATTTTCAAGTCATTTTCATTAGTTTTCCTTTATATATATGACATGCCTTTTGTCTTAAAAGAAAAACACAAATGGTAAAACTAGGAAGATAATTTATGCTCCAAAAAATAAGATATATCATAACATACTAAGAATTCTTTCGTAACTAATAATAATTATAATATTATGGGAGTTAGATACAAGGACTTCTACAAAATGGGTATAACACTAAGGCTGTACCGGGAATGACACTGTACCAAAGCTAATACTCACTCCAATTTATAAAAGTTCAAATACATGACAATGTGCAATTGATTACTTTTAAATACCGTCAAATAGTATTCTTGTAAAATCAACGACATGTTCGTTCAAATGTATCATATTTTATTTTAAATACGTCACATAAAAGTGCTTCTAATTATAAGTATATGTGCTCGTTTGGATGTGATTTTAAAATAATTAAAAGTGTTTTTGGTGAAATGTTTTTAGAACCAATTTTTAGTAAAAATGTAAGTAAATCCTGAAAAAACACTTAAAGTGCTTTCTAGAAGAAGTACATAACTGGTGTTTCTTGCAAAAAACACTTTAAGTGCTTTTGAACCCAAAAACATTTTTTCTAAAAGCGCTTTCAGCCATTTTAAAAACTACATCCAAACAAACCCTATGCCAAGTTCCTATAGGCTCTGGACAAACCGATATTCATCCATAACAACTCCCATTTCACATTTCCGTTGAATCTGCAACCGTTAAAACGTACGGTGTCACATTATTGCTAAACTGCCCCATTTCGTCTCCATCTCAACCTCTCCAGTCTTGCTGGTCAACCATTTGTTCTCACTCCAAATTCAGTAGTCCTGGGATTATATTATCCGACTCTGTTCCCATTAGATTTTCTTGGTGGAAATGCGGCAAACAGATAGAAAGATTATAAAGAGAAAAAGAGACGAAAACGGTGATCCTTTATCGCCGGACCTTTCTTGCCGAGAAAGTGACAGCTTTTTCTTCAACGGAGATTGTGGAGAAGACAAACTAATCCCCAATCTCAACAACTATTGTGACGGCTTTGCACTGGAAGAAGACCACTTGCAGAACTTAATTCTCAGAGAGATCGAATTTGGGTACGAGAAAGACGAAGATTTGGTGATTCCCATTTGGGTTTTGAACGCTCGATTGGAATCCATCACATGGGTTCTCCAAGTTAGTCTCTATCTAATCTCAAAAACACAATTTCTTGTTTTCCAAGTTTCGATCCAAAAAGTTGTTTCGAATGGGAATTTGATTGTGTTCCTGTCATTGGTGTTTCTCGGATTTCAGAGAAGAAGGGCTCTTGGATTTCATCCCAGAACAGCATATTTGTGCATGACATACTTTGATCGGTTCATTTCCCTGAGACAAATCCCCGTAAGATTTAGTTTTCGCCTTTTCGGGCTTTGTCCAAACGATAATGCCAATGTGTTTTGTAAATTTGTATTCCATTCGGTGTTTTAAATCGCAACTGTGTAACAAGACGCAGTTCATGTGTTTGCAGGTTAATAATAAAGAAGCTGTGGTTAGATTACTTTCAGTGGCGTGTCTATCTCTGGCTGCAAAGATGGAGGAGCAGAACATTCCATCACTGTCACAGTACGAAGTCGAAAATCCTCACCTTTTTGAAGTAAAACTGATTCAGAGAATGGAGCTTACGGTGTTGGGAGCACTAGAATGGAAGATGAATATGATTACACCCTTCTCGTTTATCGATTACTTCGTCTCCAAGTTGTGCCAAGAATCTCTATCTCATGTAAAATCCAAGATTGCAGGCCTCCTCCTTTCCATAATCACAGGTATTTCTATTTCTGTTTGATCACTTAGTTAACTGTGAGTTGATTTAGATGGTTAGTTAATTACGTTTTAATGTTAATGTAGAGTTCAATTCAATGCATCAACGACCGTCCGCTGTAGCAGCCGCGGCCACTTTGATGGCATTGGATCAGAAACTAACAAAAGAAGCATTGGAATTAAAGATAAACTCTGTATCAGAATTGAAATTTTTGGAAACTGTGAGTTTTTTTTTTTTTTTAGCCATTTTATCATTAATTAGTTGATGTTCAAGTAGGTTAAATGTTGGGACTTGCTGGCCTTTTATGTAGGCTAAAGATTGAATTTTGATTGATGGGTTTGATCGATCTTCGGGTTTTTGGCCTTTGTGTTACAGGAAGCTGTGATTTTCTGCTACAATCGAATGCAGGAAAAGGAGCTGAAGAGTCTGAAGGACCGATTGATCCCAGTAAATGTTGTAGATAATTCTTCAGTTCCTGCAGAGAAGTCTGTAAAAACCACTTGATCGCTGACGCAGTTTGATTCGTGCCCCATGGATGGATGCTGTAGAGAATTTTCAGCTAGATCAGATTACATTAGAGTAATTCTGTTCTGGTGTAGAAATTTCCATAGTGGAGTGGAGTTGCTTTGAGGAAAGAATCTTAAGTTCGGACGCTCGCTAGGGCAGCAAACACAAGGGGGTGGGAGAGACTTACATACGGAGGAGGATGCCTTGTACTGTATGTGCGGTTGAATGGTCAAGGGGTCCGTAATCCAGTTGTTTGCCCCTAAGATTTTCTTTGTTTAACACAAAAATCAAATCGAGTACAGATAAACCGAGTTGTATAAATAAAATCTAGTACATGGAAATCCAACCACACCTAGTAGAAATTAACACACATTTCAAATTTGCACAAAGAAAAAGAGCTGTATAAGTACCATCTACGCTGAAATTCGGAAACACACATATAGTTCCAGTATCGTTTGGGCATTTTCAAGGAAGGTTGAATACTTGAAGCCGGCGAAACTGACGGTTAATCTGAGATGTCGAAGCAAAATATGCTCTCGGGAAAACAATGCAGCAAATTAATATGAGAAATGCTAGGATCAATCGCACACGAGCTTATGCCCAAACACCTAGCATTTGTGCTTGTGGTACTAAATCTAACACTCCTCTCTATATACAAGTTAATATATTGATATACAAACACTGATATTCCTAAATTAGAAACCCCAATTCTGTTAAATCTGTTAACTTTCAAAACGGTTTCACGTCTCTGCATTCACTTTCACCATAAACATATTCAATCCTATTCAGTCTTTGCTGGTCAACCATTTTCTCTCTCCAAATCTTTGGCTTCAGTACTGGGTTGACTCACTGAGTTCATATCATTTTATTCCATTTCTACTAGCTTTTCCAGAGCTTTCTTGCCAATAAAGAAACAATGGACGGTGGCAATGACGATGATCCTTTATCGCCGGACCTTTCTTGCCAAGAAAATCCTGAATTTTTGATCGATGAGGTGCCAGTTGAAAACCCAGACGACGGCATCAACAACTTAATCCACATAGAGATCGAATTCGGGTTCCAGAGAGATGAAGCTTTGATCATTCCCAACTGGGTTTTGGAAGTTCGATCAGAATCCATCACATGGACTCTCAACGTTAGTCTCAAAACTCCAAAACCCCATTTCCTGTTTTCGAAATTTCGATCCATTTGAACTAACGTTTGTGAAGTTTCAGTCGGGAGTTTAATCTGGTGTTTCTTGAAATTCAGAAAACAGCAGCATTTGGGTTTCAATCCTCAACAGTAGTATATTTGTCCGTTACATACATCGATCGGTTCATTTCTCTGACGTCCATCGCCTTGCCTGTAAGATTTTGATTACATTTTAATTTGATTAGAAATTTTATTAGTATTAATGAATTGATTAATTTTTCTTTTTTCTGCAGATTGTAGAAGAAAGACCGGAAATTAGATTGCTTTCGGTGGCCTGCCTATCGTTGGCGGCATGGAAGGAGAGGATGATGCTCCCACAGCTGTCACAACACGAAGACGGAGATTACTTCTTTGCAGCGGGATCTATTGTACAAAAGGCGCATAGGGTGTTGACAGCATTAGGATGGGACATGGATATAATCACACCCTTCGCGTTTCTCGATTACTTGGTCTCCAAGTTATGGCAAGATTTTCCACCAGATGTGAAATTTCAGATTGCAGCACACCTCCGTTCTGTAATGACAGGTATTTCTGTTATTTACATGAATTAATTGATCACTTAATCAATTAATTTGTTTTTGTTGGTTGATTTAGATGGTCATTACGAATTAATTAAGTTTGTTCTTGAACGTTAGAGATCAATTTAATGCATCATCGGCCGTCCGCTGTAGCAGCTGCCGCCACCTTACTGGCATTGGATCAGAATTTAACTAATGAATCATTGAATGTCAGGATATCGGTTCCTGATTTGAATTTTTTGGAAACTGTGAGTTTTTTGGTTCGTTAATTAATCTCATTAGTTGGTTAATCAAATGGATTAAAGACTGGATTTTGCTTAATGGGTTGATTAATCTTGGACTTGTTGGCCTTTGTGTTGCAGGACGCTGTGTTTTTCTTGTACCATCAAATGCAGGAGCGGTTAGGTGGTTGAAAGTAAACAACCCAAAAGGTGCAGTAAATGTTGTAGAAAATTCTTCAGTTACAGCAGAGAAGTGATTCTGTTGATAAATAGTAAATAGTAAACAGGAAAGAGGAGATGAGGTGCCTTGGTGAGATTTGATGCGTTTGTGTTGCATGTTGGCCATCAAAATTCAAGAGAGTTTTGTAAAGATCTGATTTGTTTGAATGTTTGGGGTATGCTTTTCTAGGCGGGCCCTACTATGTTCTTCCTTATAAGCATTTAGGTTGGTTGGCTGTGTAGAGCTGAGGTGTCATGCAAAACCAAGACATCAATAGGTTTTTCTATGTGGAACCGGATCCCCTTCGTATCCATATATATTGAGCAGGCGATCTAGGTCGTTGAAATTTGATCAAACGGTTACAATTATTATAACTTTTAGAGGATCCCCTCTTTGTTACCTTTGGATCAAATTTCAACAGTCCGGATCGCCTGCTAGCTCAGTTTTATTGGATCTGGAGGAGAACCGGTTCCTTTCTATGCTAATCATATTTTGACAAAGTTAATTAATGGTTACTTTTAAATCACGACTAGGTGGTCCAGTGGTTGGGAATGAGTTCCAGATCCACATTCACTCAGCATATCCTAAGTTCGATTCTTGCCACGGATGAATTGTACGGTGATGGTCAAGAAGAGGCTAAAATGCCTTTGAGTCTTTCCGGCCTCTGGAAGGATGGACTACCGACGAAATCATCCGCTGATCTCCTTTTTATTAAAAATAAAATAAAAAATTAATGGTTCCTTTTCAAATTAATCAAACTCTGAAATTTAGATCGAATACAAATATCTTCATATGATGTCATTTTCACTCGGGAATTTTGTACGTAACGGGAGTATATTCTAACAGTAATATCACTATATCACGTGACGCCTCTGTTCACTGACATCTTTCCATAAGCAGGAGAGTATGTCATTTAGCCATGAATTTGCTAGCTGTTCGACTTTACAGAATCGAAAGAATGATCTTTGAAATGATGCCATAACAAAACCTCCATCTGTAGGCAAGCGCAGAAGTACATATTCAAGTTCCCAGTCGATCTCCTGTCTCGCTTACGCGGGGATGAATTTCAGAGCTGCTGACACCGGCATGCCAAGGAACCCAAGCGCAACGCTAACAAACCATTGCTTCAAACTTAGAGGATATGTGCTTGCGAATGTACCCAGGAACTCAATGATTATGATTTGAAAGATAACAGTGGCAGAGAGGACAGACACGAAAACGTAGTTCTGCGTTATGCCTTTGAAGACGTTTATCTTCTCCATTTCCCTCGAGCTGATCTCATTGAAAACCTGAAGGAAACAGCGTACGAGGGTGAGTAGTCATTTCCTGAATTCGAATTTTACTGTTTCTAATACTCCGATTCATGAACTAACGCAATATGAGTAAATCAATCCCCCGATAATTCATAATTACCTGACAAAACACAAATGAGTTGAAGATAAGGGTGTTCAAGATCAAATCAGAGTCTGGGCCAACGAGCTGAAAAGCCTCTTTTCCTCTGGTCTGTAGAAACCATAATATCAGAAACTGATACAGAGACTGCCCGAGGATATTCCTCCACATCACATTAGTGATGAAGTTTCCCGTCCTGCCAACTGGTGTTCTCTTCATCAAATCATCATTAGGCGGCTCAGTGGCTAATGCAAGGGCTCCCAGAGTGTCCATGATCATGTTGACCCAGAGAAGCTGTACAGCAGTAAGCGGTGTATTTCCTATGTGCGTTATCAACCCCAAACCAAAAAGTGAGCCACAATATTGTCATGAGAAAGAAAAAAGAAACTTAAATAAGAAAGAAAATGTCAGTGTGCTTACCGGTTAAACAGGCAGAAGAAAAGTTGACAATAAGTGCAACCACATTAACCGTTAACTGGAACTGAACAAATTTCTGTATGTTCAAGTACACTGAACGTCCCCATTTGGCGACAGTCACAATTGTAGAGAAGTTATCATCCAGAATTATCACATCAGCACTTTCTTTTGCTACCTGAGATGATTAGCACACGCTTAATCATCTTAATATCAAAAAGGTTCAACACATGAGAAGAAGAGAGCAAACGACCTGTCCTTGGGCAAACGAATCACTTCTTTCTTGTATTATCCATATTTAAACTAATATGATTTAGTCTCTTACCACCACCACCACTTTCCAACCCAACCTTTTTGCAGTCTTCTGATACCTCAGTTTAGTAATAAGCTCATCAATCAAAATAGTGATGGAACTTTTCTCTAAAAACTACCTAAGAAGTAAAAGAGTTGTCTGTCTTTAGCATGTTATATCTATAAAAAAGGAAAATCATCTGTGAAAATGTGTGACTTTATGATTTGAGAAAGCGAGAGAGAGACTTTTATTAAGACACAAAAAGGAGCAACATCATGGTAAATACCTCAGTTCCAGCAATGCCCATTGCAAGCCCTATATCAGCTTCATGAAGTGCTGGAGCATCGTTTGTACCATCACCTGTCACGGCCACAACTTCTTGAAAAGTGGTCCTTAGGTGTCTTACAAGGGTATGCTTATCCATTGGTGAAGATCGAGCCATAACCTGATCACATGATAATAAATTAACTACATGTTTCTGTAACAGCTCACTGGCGGTATTTTTGAAATTTTGATTACATGTTTCCGTATTAGTGTCTTTCCAGAAAAATAAGAAACTGTACCTGAAGTTCTGGAATAATTTTTTGTAATTCCTCCTCACTCTTCTCACGAAATTCTGGGCCTTCAATTGCCAAACCCCCATCGGTCAAAATTCCACATTCTCTTGCAATTGCTTTTGCAGTGTTTATGTTGTCTCCGGTAACCATTCTGACTGTAATACCAGCAGACCTACAAATTGCAACGGACTCCTTGACACCAGGACGAACTGGATCTTTGATACCCACAATGCCTATACAAGTGTACCCTGAGGCGGGAATAGGACTTTCAGCTGAGAACTCATTGCCAACCTCCATGTATGCAAGGCAGAGAGTTCTAAGTGCTTCACTAGCAAAACGTTGAATGATGCCACTCAAAAGATCAATGGATGCTTTATCGAGGGGAACAACCTCACCATCTGGACCCATGAATTTGTCACATGCAGCTAATATTATCTCAGAAGCACCTTTAGAGTGCACCCGGAAGCCACCTTCAGGAAGCTCTAGAACAACACCCATTCGCTTCTTATGAGAATTGAAGGGCTCAATTTTAACAACTTTTGATGCTTCCCGTTCTGCCTTGCAATCACCGCCAAGCAACATCCCAAATTCCAAAATAGCAGTCTCAGTGGGTGTTCCAAGTAACTCAATCTTGCCATCTTTGTTTTTAACTACTTCTCCTCCAGTGTTGTTAAAAATAGATTGAAGTATGAGTCTCAAACCGGAGCCAGGAACTATAGAGGCCAAGTTAGAAGCTTCCTCAGAGGTTCCCACATCTCTGATTTTCCCACAAATGCAAGCTTTCACAACAGTCATGTGGTTAGTCGTTAGTGTCCCAGTCTTGTCACTGCAGATAGTTGTGGCTGATCCCATTGTCTCACAAGCGGCCAAATGCCTGACTAGTGCCTTATCGTTCATCATCTTCTTCATGGCAAAAGCAAGACTCAATGTCACAGCCAAAGGCAAACCTTCTGGAACAGCAACAACTACAATTGTAACAGCTATAGCAAAATATTCCAAGATTGCCAATGCGTCATCTCCAGACCAGATCAAGTGGGATCCTTCTTGAAGCTTGCGGCTGAACAATCCTTGAACCAACACAGAAAATGTCACAACAGCAAAAAACAGGCCTATTTTCCCAATGATGGTTGCCACACCATTTAGTTTGACCTGCAAGGGGGTTTCATCATCTCCTCCTTCAGTGAGAGTAGTCATCAGTTTACCCCACTGGGTTCTCATTCCAACAGTAGTTACAAGCATCTTGCATGATCCATCTTGAACTTTAGTTCCAGACAGGAGAAAAGGATTAGTAGAATTGACTTTAACCGGTTCACTCTCACCAGTTAAACTGGATTCATTTATCAGCACAGAAAACCCAGAAACAAAAAGTCCATCAGCTGGGACCAGATCTCCAATAGAAAGATGAACAATGTCACCAGGAAGTAGTTCATATATGGACAGCTTCTGTCTGAATCCATCTCTAGTAACCTGAACCGTAATTTTTTTCTTCTCCTTCTCCAAGTCCTTGAACTGCAGGGATTGTTTATAATCACTAGTTGCAGTGACAAATACAACAAGCAAAATGCTCGCAACAATTCCAAGTCCATCGTGGGCACCCTTTGGCCAACCTTCTGTCATTATCCCAACAAGCAAAGATACAAAGGCACAAAATGCAAGTATCATGAGGGTAGTGTCTTGAAGGGCTTCCCACACATAAACAAGAAATCCATGGGATGGTTTTTCAGCGAATTTATTAACTCCATATATTTCTTTTCTCTTATGCAGCATTTTCTCAGAAGTAGAAATTCCATTGATACTTGATGTTCCAAGCTTGTCTGTGATAGTCTCCACACCACCATGACTTTTCAGCTTTTTCACATCACGGCCTTCAACAATCGATCCAACCTCATCAGCACAAATTTGAAAACCCGCAGCTTTGACTTCCTCAGGTACAGTATAATCACTGGGCAAACTTAAGCCTGCACACATTGAAGGTTGAACACCAAATAAACACATAAAAAAGATAGAAATATTGTTTTTAAATTTACGAAAGTTATAGCGTCTGTATAACCAACTTCAGGACTGAGTACGTTAAGATTCTAACCATGGATAAACTGAAGTGCAGCTTGTGAAACCAAAACTGCAACTCTAAACTTCTCCTGTTATTTCCACCGAAGAAGAACAAAGGACAACGCAGTAAGAAATAAAACTTTTCTTTTATAAGACATCAAAAGATATATTTTCTACATAAAGTATGCTCATGAATATAAACGTTTACTAGTTTCGACCCCCATTAAGTACAACGTATATCTGCCCAATTTCTGTTTAAGGTAGACGGTAGACCTTAATTCCATAGAACAGCAACTACGGTTCACCATACATGGTTCAGAAAGCTGTTAAATCCTTTTACGCATTATCGTAGTATTACATTCCATATCCCATTAATCAAACCCAGTTACAAGCATGTACTTGGTCGGGGTTTTCTTTTCGATATTCCGCAAGATGAGACAACACAAAATGGCAATTTCAAGCTGCAATGGATCTGCGAACAGCATGGCTAATTCACCATGCACCAGAAACAAGCAATCTCAAATTTCAGAC